ATATATATATATATATATATATAAAAGAATTGCAAGAGCCACTCAAATCCGAGTGCTAAGTTTCCTTATAGTGGGTATTTAAAGAATAAAAGAAATAGAAAAAAGAAAACCATGTAGAACCAAGTTAATAAAATGTTTGTAAGGAAAATATTTATTATGAAGATAAGATTTAAGGATTATCAATCAAACAACTGAATTTCTCACGGAAAATTTAAGATAACAAAGAGAGTATTAAATCTTCCAAAAGCTAATGAGAAAAGTTAAGTGATCATAAATAGAGCCTTAAAAGATGCAATTAATCGCCGAAAAGAGGCGTGAGATGACTTAGCGAATTCAAATTAGAATTGAATTGATCCTTTACATGAAACCAGAAAAAAAAAATCAAAGGTCTTACCAAACCAAAAAGCTTAAAGAAAATTCTTCGAAAAGAAAAGGAACGGTTTTTAAAAAAAGAGAGAACAATTTTCCTATTCTCGAATGGAGTATATGATTTGTCACTTACATAGAAGGCAACGCAGAGACCGGCTGTGTAATCGCCTGGTAACTTGATGTTAGCACTAAAGAATCCATATTTATACATCTTGGATGAAATAAAACCCGCACCTGAAATTCCCCGAAATTAACGATCGATCAACGAAATCATATATATATATATATATTAGCATTAATTATACATGCAGGTTTTCTTGAGATTTTTAATAAAAATACAAGATGCGAATATATACCTGTGAAGCGATCAAGGAGGAGGCGGGCGGTTCTACCATTAGGTGAACGAACTAGGTTGCCATCGCCAAAGAGGGGGCTGTAACCTTCATCAAAGGAGATGGTGGAGAGATTGAAAGCTGCGCTGGCAATCATACGAGGAAAGGAGAAAAAGAAGAGAAGGAGATAGAAAGGTTTCGAGAGAGACCAACAACATAAGCAATCCATTTTGTTTTTAACCATAAATTTATTTTAGTATTTATCGTTTTTCTCTCTCGTTAATCCTCCTTTACTTTCTCTGCAAGTGTATATCTACAAAGCCACATGAATCGGAATGAGGAGAAGGAGAAGGGATAGGGAGAGGAGGAGAGGAGGATGGTCTTAATAAGGGTTGGATAAGTCTGCGGTCGTTTTGAACTGTGCTATTGTACAAAAATGCCCTTTGAATGTTTCGATTTGACGTTATTGCCACTTTGCAATGGATATGATGGGGTGGTGGTTGCAGTTTGTAGTTACTTGTTTTAGCCTGTTGTCTTCGTTGGCTTATGAATTAATGATTGTGGAGAACTATATTTTTAGGCAGTTGCATAATTGACCTAACCAGAAATATGGTTTGCTTGTGGTGCAAGACAAGGAGTGAGGCGACAACTAAGATGGATGGTGAAGGTGTGGGGCTCACAGATTCCATGCACAGAGGTTTACAGTTTAGATAGCATGCAAAAATAGATAAAAATACGCAACGCTCGTTCATTATGAGCATGCAAGGAGCCAGCCTTTGTTGTTCTTTAGGGTTAAGACGACGACCTTCTTGTTAGTATATCTAAAGTAGATTTGGTATCGTCTTAGGCTCGCTCGCTAGCTGTGTGTGTACTTAACCACTCCATTTTCTTTTCTTTTCTTTTCCTTTTCTGGTTCAACTACCTTTTTTAAAAAATAATAATAATAATACATATGGCTTCCCTTTTGTTAATGTTCCTTTTATTTATTTATTTATATGATCTCTCCTCCTTAGAAGATCATTTGGTATGCTAATAAAAAACCTATAGAACAATTTCTGACCTAATGACACAATGGTTTAGTACGTAGTTGATTAGGTGATTATCCGGGCCATGTTCAAAACTCTGCTTCTTTATCGTTGAATATTTTTTTTCTTTTTCTTTTATTACTTTTTTCTATTATATGAACCACTACCATAATATAAAATGAACATTCAAGAAAATAAATCAATTATGCTCACAAAAACATGAAAGACAGCCTTAATTTCCTTCCTCACGATGCCAATCCTTTCCTGTCATCCTCATTTTAACTCTCTATCCTCAAAACGATGTATAAGCTAACTAATATTGTCTTTGATGGCATATCTGTCTCCTTTCCTTGTTATGCTAATGCTTCTTTGTTTTTATGCTGTGAAAAATCAAAAGACTTGGAAATTTCCCAATTTAGGTAATTATTCGAATGCAAATGTTTGATAATAAAAAATTAAAGAACAATATTTGATGTACATTTTCGTGATATCATTGTGATCTTCATTTCTATCGGATTAGGTAGAGAGAGGATAAGACAATACTATAATTGTTGCTGTTGTTCCCAGCTGGAACTTCGGCGAATTGTACAATGACTGACAAGGTTTCTGTAAATGTAGAGGCAACAGGAGGGCGGTATGGTCAAATTAAGGGTAGAGGGAGGGAGGGAGGGAGGCGTGTGCAAGTGGTTTCTGTCTTCTTGATAGGAGTTGAAGGGCCCTGTTGGAATATATGAGTAACGGCATAAAGAGAAAGAAAGCTTCGAGGAGATGGACAAACCGCGTCCGATACTAACGGCGGCGTTTATAGTTAGTACCACGTTGTTATTTGTCGTTGTTTTTCGCTGTAGTAGAAAAATCGCTTTGGATTCCTGTCAAATTTTTATCAACTCCATTAATTTTACAGAATTATCCATAAATACATTGACCAGACCCTTCTCCTTATTCGTTTTCTCCGTAAAATTTAACCACTTATCCTAATTAATTACACTCTCTCTCTCTCTTCCTTTCTTTAATTTTTTTTTTCAGATGAATCGTTGCCAACCCTTCAAATACCATGAGTATGATTTTTTTTTATTTTTTTATTTTTTACTTATATAGAATTCATCATTTATGTATCTAGAAGGGGCCGCACACATGTATGGGTTTTTTTTGTGTGTATACAAAAAACAGAAGTCTTTATTTTTATTTTTTTGTTTTTGATTTTTATTATTTTTATGTAAATGACAAATGACTCACCACTAAAAAATTGAAAAACATCGGTGGAATGTACTATTAAATTTTTTAAATTTATTAACATAATTTTTTAGTAGTATTTATACTCATAGTCTATCAGTAAGAAACTTGCCAACGTGATCAACAACAAAAATAATCCATTAAAAAAATTACTTTTAATGATTTATAGTTTGTTGGTGAATTCGTCAATAATAATTTTATAAATAAATTTGCAGATGGACAAATAACGCAAAAAACCTCTTCTCACTTTATTTTGCTAGTACTTTGATCGCTGAATATAATATATCACTAACAACAAAATCATATGTCATTTAATTGGTGATTTTTTTCGTTTGTCAATATGTTTGTCAATGAATTTGACATATAACCGCCAAATAAACCATCTTTTATTATATTAGTGTGTAAATAGTGGTAATAACATTTTCAGTAATTCTTTTCCAACTCTTTGAAATATATCGATGAACTATGTATGTCAATTACCCTATCAATAATAATTTAAAAATATATATTAAATAAAAATAGAAAATAATTTTAAAAAAATAAATTAATATAAAAATAAAATATTTATTTTAAATTTAAACGTTTATAACTTCAAATAAAATTAATCTACAATAAAGGCGCTAAAAAAGAAGAAAGAGACGGATCTTCTCCTAAATCACGAGGCAAATAAAAAAAAGCACATATATCACTCATTTATGATTTCATCTCAAATAACAATTAGCGGAATTCGGTCATCTAGACATTGAGTCATTCATAATCAGCACCAAGATGGGTCATTCAATCTTTAATTTGCTAGTCTAAAATTACCTTGAACCTTAAAGTTTGAGTACTTGGAACTGATTGTGAGCATCTAATGGTTGAAACACTGTAGGTCATTTATAAAAACTTAGTCATAGTGGTAGAGAGATGATACACCTAATTTCTATCGGGTCCATCATACGATCTTCCAACTGCAAATCTAGATCGAGATTCAGATGGGTCAAAAGATCATCACCGTATCTCTCTTTCAACCTAGTGTTATATGTATCATGAAAATAAAATTTAAAAATTAAAATAATAATAATAATAACTTAAGAAAACAATGGTTGAAAACAACATACTACAAAGTCTTAATAATTCTTTACAGCTAATTTAGTCGGAAACTACCTCATAATATATATTTTTTGGTGTTTTTGTTGTTATTTATCAATTTTTTGATAGTGATTTGATAATATATTATTGTTTTTCCTTGTTAATTTGTACTATTTATAATATCTTCTTGGATAGCTTATACTAGTTTCTTGGGTTAAGTTTTGCCGCAGGATGAATTGAATTTTTATGCAAAAAAAAAGAAGAGTAATTGTTGTCAAAAGTGCATGTAGTCAACTTGACAAAGGATTTTGTGTGCTAATAAAGGCCAATATTATCAAAATTTTATTATTATTATTTTTGGTTTAATCAACTTAAATCATATGGATATTGAACTAATATAATAACCCGATTGGTGTTGTAATTCCAACCATGGCTTGTCTGACCGTTTTATTTTTATATATATAAATATTAACAAAATGACATTATATCAAAATTGCAAAAATATGAACCCACCACCTATTTTTTTATGTCTTTTTCATATCAATCCTTCTTCTTTCAATCTTGTCATTGGTCAATTATTTGAATCAATTGTCATTTAATTTGGCTAAAAAAGGATAAAAAATGGAGAGAAAATAAAGTTGAGGGCCAAAATAAAAAAGAAAAGAAAAATGATGAACAATTAATCCATAGCAAAATGGTAAACAGTATTAAATATATAGTAAAATCCCCAGACCTTCTAGAAAGTACTGCTATATAGGTTATAGCATCATGAAAGTGGAAACTGGAAAGTTGTCAACATCATAGCTAGCTAACTTCTTTGGAATAAAACAAAAAACAAAACAAAAGACGTATATGTTCAATGTTAATGGAGATGCGGGGTATCGATCCCCGTACCTCTCGCATGCTAAGCGAGCGCTCTACCATCTGAGCTACATCCCCTGAGTTCCTTCAGTTTTATATAATTATTATATTGACAACTAGCGACTAGGTCTTGCTAAGACGATAGCAATGCCAGACGAGCTCACTTTGAGGCAATCCGGTATTAATTAAAATTCAGGAAATGATTATTTAAACACCCTTCTTCACTTTATTATTATTATTTGGAGATTCTCTGTCTTCTTTTAATGTAACACCCGTGAAATTGATGCATGTCAAAATCAAAGATTGATAGAGAAAAAGGACAAGTATAAAGGAGATGCTTCTGATGAGGGCATACAGGTCAAAAGGTTGATGCAAGAGATCAACAGAAGATAAGGTCGGTCGTTATGCCACAACTCACTAGGCAATGGAAGAAAAGCCAGATAAAATAATGGCCTTGCTAAGTCAAAATCTCCGCAAAGCATGATAATTATTTAGAGATTATAACAATCTTGAAGTTCCTGGAGCATCAGTCATATCCTTGGAGAGTTGGACAGAGATACCTTTGGAATAAGAACATTTTGATGCCATTTCATAACTGTTTCTTGGTTATCCACAGAATCACCTGCTTTACGAAAATTTAAAGGTATACAGACAGAAGATACAACTAAGCAACCGAGAATCACAAGCAGAACGCATTGTGGGAATGGTAACATTTGAGTCATCTCTATAAGTAGCAGGACTGAAAAGTTGTGGAGTTCAGACCTGCATTGCTTGCAGCTTCCATTCCTTGTTTAAACGTTGTTATCTTGCTAATAAAAAGAAGATATATTTGTATTTAATTATCAGCTCTTGCATCATGCTTTACCATCTACCTCCGAGCTACGTGTTACATTTTACCCATTGACACCAGGACAAAGACCTTGCATTGTAATTTATACATCTGCAGAGAGCAACAAAGGCTAGCTAAACAAAAATGTTTTTAACTGTTCAAAACATGGTATTTTGATTCAACATCGCTTTCTGCATCCCACGGGAATGATCCAAAGGCAAAAGCTACCGCCTCCAGGACCGGCATAGCAAGTCCAGAGAATGTGATTGAGACAACTTCATCATTAGCCGTCTCAATGGAACCATTCTCAGCAATCCTTATATCTGGCCTCCCAGAAAGTGCTTTAGCCTGCTTTTCATTCAAAGAAATAGCTTCCTTTGGATCTTAAAGTTGCATATCTTTCCAGTGTCTCCACATATAAGTTCATCACATAGGATCTCAGTCTATATGATTTTTCTTCACCAGTATCCGTGAACCCCCATCAGGACAACCGCTATCACCAGGCACAATCCTTATCAAAGATTCTGGACCCCAAAGTCGGTTTCGCTGGACTTAGATCTTCAAACCATGCCCGGTCTTTATCAAATCCCTTGGGAAGGGTATTCATGGTTCTCTCAAGCTGATATCGCTGATCAACTCTTCTGAGGAAATATCCATACAGTATAGAAGCAGCAAATAGCTTTCAAAGTTTGACTTTGCTAATTTCTACAATGGTCTCAAGGGGGCAGACTAGTCGTACTCCAAGTACAATAGACAGGTGGCTCTGTATCATTTCAAGTTTTTGTTCCTGGTTTGGCCAAAAACCTACTCGTCCAGTGGGATCTGACGTAGGCAATATCTATGGGATCATGGAAATGACAACGTCTAAAATTTTCTGTACAATCATGGAGTAAATGATCTCCTTCTAAAATTTTCTGTACAATCATGGAGTAAATGATCTCCTCCAGTTTCCTTCTCCTTGACTTCAGATATTCTCCTAAATATCCGAGGATTAGTCACATTAGTGAGTCGCAGTTTTGCAGCCAGTGAATGATCAGCATTCAATTGGCAAACATGAAATATAAGCTTGGAAATATCAAAGCCCCTTTATGAAAATTGGAAAAACAAGCCAACAACAATTGAAACCTCTCCAACTATTATTAGCTCAGACAATAATGAGAGAGAGAGAGAGAGATGGATATAAATAAATGCAAGTCTCTTGTCTGAACCTGATCAAACACAATAATAGAGAGAGAGACAGAGGGAGAGAGAGAGAGAGGGAGATAAATAAATGCAAGCTGTTATTGTTGCAAGGGAATATTGTATATTTCTTTTTGTCATATAACCTGATCAAAGACGGGAAAAAAATTTCAAATGGTTGCGCCATCAAGAATAAAAGAGAATAAATTTAAGCTATGTATTGATAAGGTGCAGTATAAAAAAAGGAAACAAATAGGGAATCTTATACTGCAAATGGTATTCTCTAATTTCATAGCATATTGTTTAACGTCTTGTCTTGTTCATGCTTGGTATGATGATTAGGCATGCAGGAAACAAGCAAAAGAATTGGAAGCAGCGTATTGAAGTTAAGTATATGTAGAGAAACACTCAATAATTTTGAACTAGATGCTTAATTATGTCATCTAATTCATATAATGCAGTTCTAGTATTTGGATTTACCTGCAGTCACAGGTAAAATTTTGAGTCTTCGCTCACACTTAAAGCCAATCCCTAAAGGTATGACTGACATTGAAGTTTAAGTCTAAGGGTATATAATCAAAACCAGATCTGAACTTCTGAAAAGTGAAAGAGAAATTACAGCCGCAAGAGGCATGATTCTATTAGAAAATAAAAACACAAGAAAAGATAGATGAGGGGCGCGCGGCTGCTGGAAGTTTTGAAGAGATAAGGTTTGTTTCTTTTGTTTTAAGAAATTAGGATTTCACGTAAAAGCATAAGTAAAATCATCAGTTTACCTGATTTTACAATATTTCAATCTCTTTTTATCTGTTTTTAAGTTTTTAAAATAATAAATATATAGTAATTTTATAAAATTATATAATTTTATGAGTCAATTAAATTAATTTAATGAGTCAACTTCCAATTTTAATAACATTGATTTTATAAATATCATTTTATTACGCCAATAATATGAAATAACATAAATTATGCTATTTATCGAATTTTTTCTCTTATTATACTAGTTTCTTCAATAATTTTACACATTACATCAATTTAAAGAAAAAAACCTCTATGAAAATAAAACATTTTCAAGTATATTCTTAAGCAGCGGTAGAATCTTAGAAAAGATAGACATGGTTGATATATTTTTAAAAAAAATCTTCCCTTAGAAACAACATAATTAAAGGGAAAAAAATAAAACAAAAAAGCTAAAATGATTATAATTGATCACTTGAATAAGGATTTAAAAAGTAAACATATGAGGTCAATGAAAATAAATGATAACATGCAATTGAGAATCAATAAGATGACAAACAGAATAGATTTGTTTCATAACTCCAACTCCAAATATGTATACTCAGTGGCGGAGACAGGGGGCTAGTAGCCCCTGTAAGGAAAATTTTTTCTCAACCTCTTCTTTGTAAATATTTATAATTTTAGTAAAGATAACTGAAATTTCAATCTTTTTAAAATAATTGTTTAATTTGGCCCCTCTAATTTTTTGTTCTTCCTCTGCCACTGGGTATACTACGGAATTAAGGGTAGAACGAGAAATTCTAGCTTGCCCCTAAGATATATAAATAAAAGTAAAAATAAAAAAATATCAAATTCCATTTTTATAAGCTTAATAATTATATCAAAATGAAATTCTTGATTTTATTATATGTAGTATTATATTGTATATTACATTCTAATAAATACTAAAAGTTAAAAATGTTCAATATAAACACACACAAAAAAAAGAAATAGAAAAAAAAATTCTAAACTAAGTCATCCTTAATGAGCTTTTATTGAGTAGATCTTATTTATAATCATATTTGTTATGACATTCATAGAAATCTCTTTTTCTATGTATAAAATTAAATTATCATCAAGAAAATCATTATGTATTATGTTATGAAGCCTTGTTTTCATCAACTTTATTGCAAAAAAAGTTCACTTTGTAGTTGAGATACTAAAAGAGTGAAGGTTATTCGAATTAATCTATCGATTAAATGTTAGATTTTCTTATCTTTAAGAAACTATCATTGCTTTACACAACTCATAAAAAAAATAGCCAATTTCTAAAACTTTAGATGTTTTGGTATATCAATCTCATAATCTTACAATTGAAAATAAAGTTTATTTTGCCCACTAAAATCTTTGGAATAAATTTTTTTTTTCAAATTGCATACATCATCAACTATGAATGAGTTATAAGAATTTTGAGGACATAATTTTAATTTAAAATAAGAAGTTTAATTATTTGATCACAAAATCTACTATTTTACTCTTGTAATTGAAAATCAATTGCAATTACAAGTATATCAAATTGGAAATGATGTTATAAGGTTTTGAGAAATTCACTATAACAACCAGACCTACCATGAGCTCTTGTATATAGTGGTTGCAAATCAAGAATATCAATTTTGTTCCATGTGCAAAATGTTTTGATACTTTTAAGTAAAGGTTCATATCCATTGTCCTGTAGCTTTTAAATCAATGATTTTATAGTTAAAACTAAACTCATGTCATTAACAAAGTCTTGATCTTATTGTTGCAAAGATCAGCATAAAATATCATCCAAATCCTAAAATTTATTTCATCAAATGCAATATAAAATGATGTTAATACAAACAAGTTGCTTTTGTATCACTTCATTCATAGTAATTTAATCCATATTTAGATATGGTATTGATAACTTTACAAGTTGCACTAACCATCCTTGACAAGTTACAAATTGATTGAAAATGAGAACCCTATAAAGTATTACCATATAGTTTTAAATTGGTTCACTCCTTTTCCTATCATATAGTTTTAATTTTAATGTACCATCTTGGTTCACTCCTTTTCCTTTATTTATTTCATCTTGAGCAATATTATTGCTAGTTTTAATTACTCGAGCAAGTTGTAACTCATTATTTATTTATTTTACATGAACTTATAACTATATTAATAATAGAATTCAAACTTGTAAAAAAACTGGTGGACAAGTTTTACTTCTATAAAGACAACAACAAAAGCTAATTGTACCCTGTAAGCTAGGCAATATACATAATAAGAAAAAGAAAAATCTTTAAAAAAAAAAGCTTGGAGTATATCTCACTCACATCGCATATTGTTTGCACCTTCATATCCTCAACCTCAAATATGTTGTACAAAAAAATCATAATAAAATAGAACATAAAACATATATTATTTTAGAGTCAATGTTCTAATATCTTTCACAGACACAAAATGAAAAAATATTCCCAAATGAAACCATATTTGTCAACAAACTATAAAACAATTTCTCTTTCTGTTTCATATCTAGTTCATGAAAAATGATACAGAACTTTGAATTCTTGATCTCATCACGAATAACCTTTCACGCATTGCTAGAAAAGACATTTAAATTTTTCTTTTGAATTTTATTAGAAGTTTATTTATCATTTTAACAAGGAGCATTTTTTAAAACAAGCTCATCAAGTTTATTATTATAACTTTCTAAGAGTTTCATGAATTTAATAAAATTACCTTAATTTTTTGAACTATAATTTTCATTAAGGCCTTTAAAGATACATGCTTGAAAATCTAGCAATCAAATAATATCAATTGTAGCTTTAAAGCATAAACTATTCTCAACTTTTTATAATGTTTGTTTATAATCAAATAATATCAATTGTAGCTTTAAAGCATAAACTATTCTCAACTTTTTATATTGTTTGTTTATCTATCAAGTTGTGAATATATTGCGATTAATTCATTAAATCTTCACTATCAAGTTGTGAATATATTCCGATTAATTCATTAAATCTTCACAACATTTCACTACAATTCGGTCAATTTTCCTTCCCACACGACCCAACAAAGGACAATATATCTCATCATTTACCTTCCTCCAATTAACAAAGCCTATGCATAAAAAAAAAACATTCAATCCCAACCTTTATGTTGTCTTTCCAAAATTGCAGCAAGGTAGACAAAAATATAGGATTCATTGCATTTGAATACTTTAGCCAACTCAAAAAATACTTTGAATTAAAAAGCATGAAATGAAAAATAGTGATTCTCATTTAAAAAAATATAAGTTGAATATATATGTTGGGATGGAATGACTTTGAGATAAGTGTGATAAATTAATGATTTTTGGTTAATAAAAGTATCTCATATCATTAGACATAATCTTTTATGACATTCCAAATAAGTAACATTTATTTCTTCAACAACATTCATTCAATTTCTTTTATTTAAGAGTTATTTCATCAAGATTTAGGAAGGAGTTGTCATATTTAAAGTAGTAGTTATAGATTAGAGATTGGCATATGGTTTCGTGAAAGAAAAAAATATAAAGCTTTTTGTTTCCATATCTCCACTCCACTCTTAAAACTTATTCAAAATAGGATAAACCTAAGAAATATCATAATTATTAGTTCAAAAATTAATCTTGTAGATTAGTCAAAATCAAAATCAAAATAAAACTAATATTTTGAATATATGCTAATACTATTTTGAATATATGATAATCATTTGTCTAATTGGTATCATTAAACATTCAAGTAATTAAAACCTTAAGGAATTTGATTTTATATAATTCATTAAAATCCATCAAAACCCCAATGCAAAGAAAATAAAAAGGAAATATAAGATTCCATATACCAAATATTAGAATTATCTTAAATTGTTGTTTGGTTGTGCATTTATTAAGAAAATAGAGATTATAGAGAACAAATTAAAGCAATTAAGGAAGTACAAACGACAATACCTTGCAACCTTTCTGAATACTGTTGCGAGAGAGAAATACAGAACTAAGAAACATTATCTATAAGAGAATTAAAGATATTTTTTTATTTTTTTGTCTTTGTACTCAATACTAGAGGTTTGAGCCAATGTTTACATATTTAAGAATGTTTTGGATGCAATATCCCTGCAGTGGGTTGAGCTACCCATTGAATATTAGAGCAACTGCAACTTATATTGCATGCCACCCTGGGCAAGACGCAAGAACAGCTAGCATAAATATGTTTTCTTTTGAAACTTTTTAAATTCATTAAAATCAATATTAAAAAAAAATCTTTGAAATTACCATGTTGATGAGAGAAATGATTCATAAAATTATTTAAAAAAAAAAAGAAACTTATCCCATGTTATCAAACAAAAACTACTGTTTAAAGAGAAATCTCATAAAACTTTCCTATTTCAGGTTCTAAACATTAAGAAGCCAGACGTCTTAATCTTGAAAAAAATATCTGATACAGCAATTGTAGAATGGAATAAATTAATGACTTTAGAAGAATTTGATGATCTCTTGGGGTTAATTGTAACAGTTCAGCATATTTCAACAATCACTCATAATATGCATGCTAGATAACACGACAAGCATGGCGTCACCTCTTTCCCACAACATAAACATTTTATATCCCTCACAAAATAAGAACCGAATTAAGATTCCGATGACAAATTAGAGCACCCGAGCAGCAAAACATAAGATCCAGGGTACTATATTCAGGGATTTATATGGAATACAGCATATAGTTCAGTTTAACAAATTAATACCATCCTCAATCAGATTTTTTTAATACAGATAAAGCAAAAAAAGTGTGGATACTGCCCTCTTAAAACAGGGTATAACACAAATTTCACTCGGCATACCATCCTAGGTCTCTAACAGTTACAGATGGACCCAATAAGAATTTTAGGATGATATGAGATGAACGAATCCTAGAACTATAACGGTCAGCTTTGATAGAATCCAAACTACAAGCTATGCAAAATATGAAGAAACTCCTGTTGCTAATTGGTTAGGTTATGCTCCTCGAAAGTCTCGTAAAAACAGGGTACCTAGATCCTAGAGACCAACCTGAAGAAGCTATGTTTGTCCAGTCTGTTGTGTATCATTGCTCATATGTTGGTCATTCCTGCCAGCCCTAAAATCTTCCTGTCCAGAAACTTCCCCGAGCCTCTCCTGCAATAAAAGACCGAAACTCTATGTGAAAACCACTTTATACAAGCAAGGTTTCTTGTTTCTGAGGTGGCTAATGAGTTAGTGCTTGTCTCAAAGCCATTCAAAATTGATCTGAAATTTGCATTAAATGATTATAATCCCCTAGTGTCATTTGTCATTTTTAAAAGATGCTCATCGTCATCAGCCAACTGTGTATTTGTCTCGTGTACAAACAGATAGCATTTTTGGTCCAATGTTCGCAATTCTTCATGGAAAAATTCCCACAAAGTCCAGTTAATATGTGAGTTTAATCTGTCCACCCCACTCAAACAAGTTCCTTCTATGTTTATTTTCTATAGTGTTTGGAAGTGTGGTAGCGATTGCTTTTCAAAGTATTTTTTACTTGGAAATGCATCAAAATAATGCTTTTTTCATTTTAAAAAAATCATTTTTGACATTAGCACATCAAAAAAATCCAAAAAACATAAACAAAAAAAAAATTTAGGGAAACAGAGACCAGGCTTTGCAATATGTTATCTTCATTACATGTCACATGCAGGCTATTTAGGTGATAGCTGATAAGATAAAAGACGACAAAATTCAACAAATCAAATCAAAGATTAAAACATCACCTTGAGAGAGGCGTTCTCTGCAAGAAGTTGCTCATACTCGCTCTTGATTTGGTTTACTTCTGATCTAAGATTGGCATTTTCTTCTTTTAAGGCTTCAGCACGTTGGGCCAGTTCATCACATTCAGCCTGACTCAAAAGCATGCATGCAACCCAATGAATTGATATATAGAGGCATGGCGCATGAAATAGCCAGACTAAATTACCAGATATTAAGGCGCACTTCGATACCTGTTTACGCAACCTGGACCGGCGAGCGGATTCTCTGTTTGACTGCTTCCTTCTCTGTCTCTTAAGCTCTCTTTCATCCTACAGCCAGAAAAACAAGAGGCGTAGACTCCTTTTAGATATAAAATAATAGAAAATACAAAAGTATGACAAAAAACTGCTGGCTTCTAACAAAATAATCCATGTCATTCAACTTGAGTCTGATTCAGATCCTCCCTCTAACAAAGATTAGAATTAATTAGTTTTAGCCTAAATCCATTAACTATGTATAAACAATTGATAATTCAAACTTCACCTCAAAAAAGCTGCAAACTTGAAAAGAAACTAAATACATTGTTTAATTTGAGACAACTCAATTGGAAAGCAGAAACAAAATCAAAACAATGCAGATGATAAAAACTGAATTGCTTTATAGAAGAATGTCAAGAATATCACAATCAAACATGCAATAGACTTTGAAACTAGATTGAAAAAATTCCAACAAACCCAATTTTGCATGAAAACATTAAAAGAGCTCACTTGGAATGATGTGCTGGATCATGATATATGAGATAATTGAGAATACTATATGAATGAGAATGGAAAATGCATGATTTCACTAAGGTATGGCCTCAGAAAACAATGGGCAGTTCAATTAATCTCAGGTCACAAGTGCTGAAAATCTAGAGATCAATCCACACCAGGAATTTTGTTTCTCCCATGCTGAGAGTATCTCAGTTAAAGGTGTTCCAATAAAATCAGAATCTTAAACAGCAAGGAAGATGTTAGTTAATGCTACAGTAAATAAGCAGATGCCAGGCAAATGAATTGGCAGGTGCATCAAAACAAAACTAAAATAAGCAAGTGCAAACTTTGAAGTAAAGTGTTCCCAGCCATTTGAAACCAACAATTTGAAGACTAAAACTAACCTGTAACCAAATCTGTGATTGAACACCATCCCGTGATCCAGTAGAAACTATCCCTCCAGCAACTGGAGTAGAAGGAACTTTCCCACGAATTGCAGGAACAGTAGATGAAGCAGGGGCTCCCCAGTAGTCCATTCCAATATTTAAGTTGGTTGTGGGGCCAGTTATAGCTCCTGGAGGGCTGGCAGCAGATATTGGCATGACAGCCATCGGTTGATTCATGATCGTATTAGATGCACCCTGTCCTCCATTCTGAGCACCATGTGCTGAACCACCATTCTGAGACGAGTCTGTTGTAATAAAATTCTTTATCAATAAACATGCAACGCTCAGTGTGATGACTTCATTATAAAAATATATAATCATAATCAAACCTTCCAGAGAATCTTGCCTGCCACCTGACTTCATTTGTGAGTCCTACAAAAGTAAACAAAAATAAAGTGTGTGAAAATGCTATTATAAGCATGCAAATAAAGTAAAAGGTTCCCAAAACATAAAAAATCTTGTCCATTTGATGACGAAAGGCAGATGTAAAAGTTTTATTCGGGATAAGCAGGATGCAATGATGATAGCCATAAAACTCTGTTTGGTATAATGGATTTGGAATGCGCCTACATTTAAGAGAACATATGAAACTTTTCTGAGTAAGGTGGACCTTGAACACCAGAATGTTCGAAACTTGAGCAGGGTCTCATCCGGCCAAAGCATCACAAGCCAAGGCAATTCAGGACAAATAGCACGCTACTTTTAGAATGTGCATATATTTACGAAACTTCATGAAGATCTTCTTGAGGAGTAAGGCAGTCCTTCAACTCCAAAATGCTTGAAACTTGAGTAGGACTCATTCAGATAATGCTTCCCTACCCAACACAACCCCCCCCCCCACCACAACCCAAAAAAAAAATTCTACAACCATTGCAAGCAAACCATCACCAATGTTAAATGCAGCAGAGTCCACAGAATCCAAATGACTTACCAAAGGTTAATTCCATTAGAACCTTTGTCAATAAGAGAAACCATCACCAGGGGAAGCCATAATTAATACTAAAGACTCAAATTAGGTAATCTTGATATATTCAGACAAATTCATGCTTACTGCTGAAACAAAATGCTTTCAACTATCTCTCATATAGCAGTCCTAGTGACATTCACAAGTTTAAAGACATAGCCATCTTTTTTTTTATTTTTTTCCCCTTCTGGTCATCTGGTAGTTAGTATTTCATATACCTACACAGCAATTTTCACTGCACATCACACTAAATGAGGAAACTTCATTTGTTTGTGGAACTAACAAGGATGCAAAGCAACCAGAACAAGATTACTCATGTAAGTGATTTTTGGCGTGGCAATTCAAAGGTCATAAGAGCAGCAAGCAAAAAGAATTATTTGATGTCAGTAGTGGCTTCTACACATAATAACTCTACCCACAACATGTAACACCAGGAATAATTGTCCCCAGAGACATGTGATGTGATCATCGGCAAAATATATATATTCCTACATGAGAGAAGAAAAAACAGCAGGTAATGGCAATCACCATTCCATCAATGTGACTATTATGATCACAAATTCCACGCTGAAAAATAATACCAATGTGTTATTAGTGGCAGTATTGCTCCACAATTACTTGAGGATCAAAACTGGGGTATTGCATCAAAGCATTTACACTGTCATGCAGCCAGCCCAGAAAACTTTCTTGTCCAATCATCCAGGTAATGCTAAATAATTAAGATGGGGGGCATAAGTTAATTAACCACAAAATCAACAACTAAGTGGCTGGTGAAAAAAGAATGGCATCAAGCATGCCAATCGATCATGTAAAGCATTTAATAAAACTAAGATAAACAGATAAAAAACTGATTTTCATGCACTTACACTCTGAGAATTTGCATCACTTCCTTCACTTGAGCCTTCACTACCACTCTCAGCACTACATATCAAGATTAATTCCAAGGTCAGATTGTTAGGATAATTTCATGGCAGCAATAAATAAGTCAATGCAACGAGTGGAGACCAAAGCGACAGCCTATCTACAATTTGTTATGATGAGGTCATAGCAGTAAAAAAATGAGACCCGTGAGCCTACCCTGTTTTTTCCATTCCATCCAACAAAACCAAATCATCAAAAAACAGCAAACTTGGACCACAAAGCAGAGCTCATTAACATGTCCCAATAAACACAAGGCAAAGTTCATCAACCAATATAAATAGCAGCCATGCATGCTATCCACACGTCCATCATTACCTCTTAGAATAAGCTCCGTTGGCAGACACTACTGTTGTTTTACCGTGCTCATTGTTCTTCCCAGTTATCATGTTTAAACTGCCCAAACTTCCTTTCGATCTTTTAATAGGCAGTTTTTCCTTAGCATCAGATGGCCTACCATCTGCTTCCATGCTGCCAGGAGTGTTTCTCTACACCAAATATTCAAACTTCCAAGTTATTCTTTACGTTGGCCTACAGAAAAAGACATGCCCTGTCATTTGCAATTATTCCAGAAGAAACTTCGTCTAGGAAACTCACAGAAACCTCAGCAATACCATTTGGAGAAGGCATTGCAAAAGGACTAAAAGGATAAGAACCCTGCACGAATTCAGAAGAAAATTAACTTTCGCTGGATTTGATGGTGTCAGTCTGAGAGCAGAAATCTTAAGCATAGTGGAAAACAATTACCGGAGGAATGGATGGATGAGCATATACACCATGCGGATACATTGCAACATATGGATGTGGTGGGGTACCATAGGGAGGCATGATGTGCTGCAATTTAAAAGTTACATGAGAACAGTGCCGATTTCCAACCAAAAGGTGAAATTACAGAATTTGAAAAAGGGGGTTTAAATTTCCTGTGAGATTTAAATACACTTGAAAAGATACGATGAAATTAACATGCAAACTACCCACAGCATCATGTGATTACATGATAAATACTTTTATGTGATCCAAAGACAACCTATGCGTTGCAACTAATCATTAACACAACTAATTTTGGCTTGTTTTGGCCAAGCTAGAGATGAAAATTTCAAGCCTGCATTCAAATCAAAATTGAGCTACATGAAAGCCAGCTAAACATCCTCTGTAAGTAAAGCCCTGCTGCTTTCATAACTGCTAGAGAATCTTGCTGAAGACACTCATGAGAAAAGCAGATTTTTAGTTAGAAGCACACTTTGTATGGGCAAAAAAAAAAAACCATGAGGGTTTATGGAGCAAGTTGTCCAACCAACCATTGTCCTCTATTTCAAAAAAAGAAAGCACGTTGACCATGCTACTTGAAAAGACCAGTTGAGCAAGCAGTCTCAAGGTTGTCAAGACAGTCCAGGACACAATTGGTGTTCATTTGACCTGTAAACTCATTTACCTTCCAAATGGACCGATGTTTGACATGACTCACTCCATCTCTAGACTAAGATCATTTGAAAGTTAATTACACTTACCCCTGTCCCATCTGATGACTACTTTTTTTTCTTACAATGCCCAATTTAGTGATTCTGTAGTTTTTGTACATGAATAAGTCTTAATAACAACGAATGCATACTCCTTAGAAAATGTCAACACAAAATCATTAGTACCTGAACCCCCCACATATATGGGTGAGCTTGGGGACTTGATGCCAAGAACCCAGGTGGAGGTATGGGAGAATATGCCTGTTGAAGAAACAACCAATCTGTATAATAAGCGTGATACAATATGAAACCATGATTATTTTTGAAAAAGTAACCAAGAGAAAGGTCTTCATTAACAGAACCTGAAACCCAGACCAGTCCGGATTTACAGTTGTAGCACTAGCAGTTGAAGGCTGCTCCTGAGAAGCACAAAAAGAATACACTTCGTTCAGCAACAGAACAAAAAACATTCGAGAAAAGTTTAATTTCTATGACAAACAAAGACGAATTCAACAAAACACACAAGAAAACCTGTGTAGGAGCAGCAGATGGTGGCTTGGCCTCCTTTTCCTTCCCAGTTTTATCCATATCACTGCTAACCATTATTATATATAACCCTCCAACAATTCCTCAAACCATCCTGCAATATAACCACCATCATTCACACCATCACAAACCCATTAATTGAAAGCCCACTACAATTTACACTAAAATTACTATAAAAAAAAAAGAAGCATAAATGACATAAGATTTGTGCCTTCATATTATTTTTAATTTCAAGGCTACAAAAAAGAAACAGGAACAGTATATCGAATACAGAAAAGCTTCAAACTTTCAATTGATTATGACTTCTCATAAACAAACAGAATACCAATTTACGAGGCATGCTTTAAGCATAGTTATCATCATATCCAAAACAACAAAACTATTCATTTCAAGAAACCCTAGATTATGAAATAATCATTTATTGAAATAGTAGAAAATGAGACAGATACATAAATTGTATCAATTAACCGAACCCGAAACAAATTTCAGGCAATGGCAATCTGTCAATAAAAACTGATCAATCAAAACCCTGGAAAAAAAAGGCAGTCTTGTAATTCAGCTAAATCAAGCAACCCATGCAAATACAATAACTAATTTAATTACCACTTTTTGAAATACCGGAAATCGAGCTCAAAATCGAAACTTGATCCACTTGCTCTTGGAGAAGCTAAACACAGAAAATAAAATACGCGTGAGCTGGTTTCGGTGGAGGACACAGATGGCAATTTGAAAATGAATGGGGCAGAGACTGGGAAAGAGAATTTTTTGTTCGATTTTTTATACAGATAAATAAATTGATGCGAGTTTTAGAGAGAGCGAGAGAGAGAGAGATGAGATCAGACAATTAGGGTTCGTTATTGGGTATTTTTTGGTAGTTGGTGTTGGGGGTTCACGGACCAGAAGCTGCGTGGGTCGTCGTGCTATAGTTGCTGGTTTCAGAGTGAAAAAACACAAGGAATTCTTTTTTCTATTCTTCACTATATGCAGCAAAAATTGCCTTCTTAGTTTTTACTAACTAGTTTATTTGCCCTTTAAATGTTTTAAAATGTAAAAAGAAAATATTAATAATAATAAGAAGAAGAAGAAGAACGCTGAGAGTTTTTTTTCTTTTTTCTTTTTTACATTATTATTAAACTGATAAAGTGAGTTAATATTAAAACACTCATTATCTAATTCAAATTTTCAATTAAATATGAGTTGATTCAACTTAAATCAATTAATTTTATAATTATAAATGTAAATATAATATAAATAACTAGTAAAATATAATTTATTTTAAAAATAATTTAAAATAATAATTTAAATAATATTTAAATAATAATAAATTAAATTAACATTAATCTCTGTTATGTGAGGCATGGATTTTATTAGATTTAATAAATATTTTATATAATTATATAAGTGGTAATGCAAATGGGTGTTAATAAATAATAATTATTTATAAATAAAATTCAAAAAAAAAGTTATTCTTGTCAGATTTACAAACCTTATTAACCACCCAAACATTGAAAAGGTCTATTGAATTTATAAAATTTAATAAAATATTTTTTCTAAAAATTACTTTTTTAACTACATAAAAAAATAAATGATAATAATATTAAGTTCAATTAAAAAATTCACATCACATTAAACTCATAAACAGAACAACTTGAATTAATCTAAAACTTGTCGTCACATTAAACTCATACTCATAAATAGAACAACTTGAATTAATCTAAAACTTGTAAAATACTTTAACCATGTAAAAAAATAAAAGGAAATAAGTTACAAAATTTAACTTTTAATCACTCTAATATTAAAAAAATAAACAAAAACAAATTTTAAAAAAAACATAAATTTAAAAAATAATAATAATACATTATGAATTATTATAATAATTCAGTTGAAATAAGTGCAGATAAACAGTAATTTTCCACGTACTTTAGCTTTTCTATTAATTAGAAAAACACTAATAGGATGCATGTGCATCCTTGCGAGCCGAATAAAAAATTAATTCAAGTGTGAAAAACAACAAGTGGGGTTGGTTATTTTTTTATAATAAAAAAATAAAATGTGTTTTGGAAGCTTGATTAGTGTATTTAATAAAATCAATCAGTCATCATAAGTGTTAATAAACACTAAAAAAATTATTTACAATAAATAAAAACTAAACTGGATGCCAAGTAATTGGTGTTATTTAATATTTTTATTTAATTATGCATCAATATATTTAAAAAATTAAAATTATAAATAAAAAATTTGATCCGAAGACATGTCATGTTATTTAATATTTTTATTTAATTAAGCATCAATATATTTAAAAAATTAAAATTAAAATAAAATAAAACCAAACAAAATAATGATGAGCATAGTTTCTTTGTATTTTATTTATCTAGTTTTGTTATATTTGTGGTCTCTTGCATGATCTAAATTTTAAATTCAATTCAATTGTGTTGGAATTGACTCGACATGGCTATTAGGCTAAGTAAGATCTGTTGCAACATGATCGCCTCTTGAAAACTTAATTTAGCTCAAAAAAATTCAAAGTCATTGTCATTTTAACCATTGCATAACTCAGAAAGGATCAAATGCAAACACAAAAATTAATAAAGGATAAAATCTAGCAAAAAAAAGTGTTTATAAATTAAAATGAAAAGGCAGCGGTATATTAGATCGATCTCAGTTAACTGGGTTAACCTATTAAATTCACAGTCCGATTCATGGACATGACAACAATGAACAAACCTATTTTGGCCATCTATCTCTTTTATTTTCTTTCCCTTCGTTTACCCCTAACTAGGTCTTTATTGGGCTCAGGTGGAATTAAAAAAAAAGACTAAACTGAAAAACTATCAAACAATCAAGCATAAAATAATAATATTTAAGAGTTATCAAAGAATAAAGATCAAATAAAAAAATTATATAATCAAGGATCAAATTTTTGAAAAACAATAACATACAACAGCAGCATGTGAGGAAGTCTACCACAGTTAAGTAGTGCATGAGACTTCCTCTCACCTTCAATAATGACTTTTATTAGTATATTAGTTTGCACTTTGTGGCAGGTCAATATTAATATTTTTAAAATATAAACAAAAATATTAAGAGTATAGAAAATGTTTTAAGTGTCTTGGATCTGTTATATATTAAAAGTATAAAGAATATTTCAAGCAAACCAGGTTTAATAGTCATGTCAGACCAACATAGGCAAACATGTCAAACTCACGTTATTTTGATCGGACATCCAAGTAATTTGGTCTTGCTTGTTTGTCAGATCCAAGTAAACGTGGTCCAATACAACTTTTAGAATTTAAAAATAATAAAACAATACTAAAATACCTTCATGATTATAAAAAAAAATACACAACCAAACATTGTGAAATAACAAAAATACCCAATATACAAAGCTTTTTTTTGTCTTTTTCAAGGCTAAATATATATTTTAACTACATTTTAATAGGTTTTAATTTTGTTAACCTTGGAAGTAGAATAATATTTTCACTGTGCAAATAATCAGGAAATGAATACCACATCCTCGTTGAAACGTTTAATGACCAATAAGTCTGTGAAAAATATGAATTACACCCACAACTAGGGCTTCAATTTTTTTAACCAAGGGCTAAATGATAATTTATTTTTTTTGTGAAAAAACAACATTAGTCCTATCCTAATACAAATCTATAATAGACTGTGTCATGGTCCACAGTATACTTGTGTAGGGTTGCCAGACCCAAGCAATATGGGCTAGACATGGTTGTCTGACCCAGATACCTTGGGCCTTGCGTAGCTGCCAGACCCAGGCACTTCAGCATATTATTATTACCGAACCCAGACATTGGTTTGACATTTTTTTGGGCCCGGCCTGGCATAGGTCAATCCAAAAAATTAAAGAAATAATTTTAGATTTTAATATTTCATATAAAAAATTAAGAAATAATCCATGTGGATATAAGCTAAAATACTATTTCAAAAGGTTTATTTATCTCACACTAAAAAAAGATATTATCTTATTCTATTAAGTTGAAGTATTTAAACTAATTTTTTTTTTATCTTACATTGAATAAACACAATTTTTTTCTTGTAAATATAGAATATACTAGATGCCACGTCAACGCGATGCCGCAAGATTGTGGAAATTAACCAAGGGCTAAATGATAATTTATTTTTTTTGTGAAAAAACAACATTAGTCCTATCCTAATACAAATCTATAATAGACTGTGTCATGGTCCACAGTATACTTGTGTAGGGTTGCCAGACCCAAGCAATATGGGCTAGACATGGTTGTCTGACCCAGATACCTTGGGCCTTGCGTAGCTGCCAGACCCAGGCACTTCAGCATATTATTATTACCGAACCCAGACATTGGTTTGACATTTTTTTGGGCCTGGCCTGGCATAGGTCAATCCAAAAAATTAAAGAAATAATTTTAGATTTTAATATTTCATATAAAAAATTAAGAAATAATCCATGTGGATATAAGCTAAAATACTATTTCAAAAGGTTTATTTATCTCACACTAAAAAAAGATATTATCTTATTCTATTAAGTTGAAGTATTTAAACTAATTTTTTTTTTATCTTAAATTGAATAAACATAATTTTTTAATATAGAGTATACTAGATGCCATGTCAACGCGATGCCGCAAGATTGTGGAAAAAATAAAAAATATATAGAGAAAGAAAAACTGTTGCAATCCATAATATTTTCAATGAAAAAACTATAATGCTAAATTCTTAACCAGCTTAATAATAAAAAAATAAAATCAACAAAGAAAATTTTGAAAAAAATCATAACAAAAAAAAAACCATGAAGGCACAAGGAAATCTATAGTTGTAATTCTCAATCAGCTCAATATTAAAAATAATAAAATCAATAAAGATCATTTTTAAAAAAATCATAACAAAAAAAATCATATAGGGAAACGCTGTAGCAATCCACAATATTTTAAAGAAAAAAAATATGAAGCTAAATTCTCAACTAGCTCAATATAAAAAAAAATCAACAGAGATATTTTCAAAAAAAACCACATGGGGAAACACTATAGCAATTTATGGTGTTTTAAATAAAAAAATTACAAAGCTAAATTCTTAACTAGCTCGATATTAAAAAAATAAAATCAACAAAAATAATTCTAAAAATAAACACAAAAAATGGTAAAAAAGGATATTTTTGGAAAAAAAAACAAAAAGAAAAACTTGTGTGAAAAGTTAAAACTGAATTCTCAACCAACTAAGTATAAAAAAAAAATCAATAAAGATAATTTAAAAAAACATATGGGGAAACACTATACCAAAACAAAAACCATGAGGGGAAATATTGTCATAGTTCACAATGTTTTAAAGAAAAAAATATGAAAAAAAAATTATCAACTAACTCAATATAAAAAATAAAATCGAGAACAACCATTTTGGGGAAAAAAAGAAGAAAAAAAAACAAAAAAAAACAACGACCATTTTGGGGAAAAAAAAGAAGAAAAAAGAGAAAAAAAAAACAAAAAAAAAACATGTAACAAAATATTTTAGTAATCCATAATGTTTTTTTAAAAAAAACTACAGAACTTAATTTTCAACCAGTTTAATATTAAAAAAAACTACAGAACTTAATTTTTAACCAGTTTAATATTAAAAAAAATCGGCAAAGATAATTTAAAAAAAACATAAAAAAAAGAGAGAGGGATTCTTGGGGGAAAAAACATGTAAAACCCCAAAAAGGGGGGGGCGAAAAAAATGTGGGAAAAAACAAAAAAAAAACAAAACACAGAAAAACAAAACAAAAAAAACATGTGGGGAAAGCTACATCACTTTCTGTATACATTTTAAAGTATTAGTTAATATATTAATAAGCTTTAAATATTACATTAAAAAAATAAAATATTCTTTTAGTATTTATATAGTGAACTTTGATATGAGTTAGTAGCCACATGAAAAACAAGGGGTCTCAGACTAGGGAAAAAACACTTAAAAAAAAAATCTTTACTAGGTTCTATTGGGTCACCTAAGTCCTGAGTTGACTTGTTAAGTGGGGCCGAGTC